GAATTTATCAACACAGCCTCCATCGTATTAATCTTCAGGCCACCTTGATGTAAATTACAGCGGCCTACTAGCGCGACTTTTGGAAGACTCTACATTGAGGGCGCGGAGTCGTAACGTCAACATGTCGTCTACTTTTCCAGGGGAAAGGCTATCTGCTGTCCCATCCTCTGACGATAACTCCCCCCCCCCATTTCATAACCTATAAGCGTAAACTGAAACTGTCATCCTTGGTTTTAGCCAACTCACGTCATCGGGTTATAAAGCGCCTCATTAATATCTGCTTCCTTCCCAGTTTCAATCCGAACACACACAAGTAACCCTCCAGTATGTTGCGTGCAAATACAGACTCTTAAATGTAGGTCAAAAATTAAATTGCGGTTTGTGATTGCGCTAGTTGTGTTTATCAATCCCCAACAAAGTCGTTTTCGGTCAGTATCAGTCGGCAAAATGACAGAAGCTCCTAAAAACTCTGTTTAAACGATACGGCAGGTACGCATGAAAAGTAGTGAAATCTATAAAGATATATTTTTCAGGTCATTTTAGTACGCAAAATGCACAAAAAAACCAAAATGTTGATGTAGGTGCGGCATTTGCGAAATCACAGCGTGCAACAAGTCTACCGCGTTAGCAATTGCCATCTGAGTCAAAAATAAGAAAGCAAAACGATCTACTTAAATCAGCGTTGCTAATTCATGCACGAAGACAGCTAGTGCTTTGGTTTTACTCGTGAAATGAGTAGAACCACATGGGAGCATAAGTCGGTCGCTAGAGCAATACCTGCAATCGATATAGCCTTAAACGCAAACCTAGAAATGTTAATAGGGTTGTCTGCAGTATGTGTTACAAAATATTATGAGTTAAGAATTAAACAGTAAAAAATTGTACGGTTATGTTAAACCCTCCAATGCAATTCTTTCTGAACACTTAGTCTACGTTAAAGATCCCGATAAAAAAGTTCTGGCAAAAAAGAGTGATACTGATTATGTGGAAACAGCAATAGGTTGTCGCTGCTGCCCTTGCACTTAAGGCTACTGGGTGTCTTACGTGGCAAACTCGAGGTTCTCCAGGGGAATCTCCGACTCCGTAGCGTATCGAGAGAAATAGGGCAGTCCTACAAAGGCGTAGCCTTCAGGATCACCGTTGAGGTTACCCAAGGCTACGCATTCTGCCGAGTCAGTGAAAAATAGATCCAACTGCTGACGCAAATGAGGTGGTACACCGAGACGGGTGCAGACCCGATCACAGAGGCCACAGATTCTCTGCGTTGGTGCCAGCTCACGACCATTATTCATTCGCATTTGGCTCCAGCGTGTGAATACCTCGACGTAGGGTTGCATGGTCCAGGAGATAGCGGCACTGGCGGCGAAACCCAATGCAGCAAGCTTCTGTGAATGCCGCAGCAGGCGATTCATGTTGGTCTTCCCACTCAGAAGCAGTGATTTAGGCGCGGCGGTAGTGTGGAAACAAAAATTCTACAAATCGACAAAAGATGCCTTCGTTACTAATATTGACAGTAGTCGTGGCTAGTAGGTCAAATGGTTCGACTTAACAACAATGTAAGTGCGATAGGGCACAGGAACATTTACACAACGAATGTCTAGGATAGAACAGTTTCTAAAAGTAAGAGCATGCAATGGTTAGATTAACATTTAACCTTTAACTCATAGAGCCGGTAGCAATGAATATAACCCAAAAACCTCAACCGTCTCTCGTTGGTGATTAAAGATGCCCTCGCAATCCGGTGTACGGTTTTGGGGTGAGGAAAATGTACCCGGATGCTAACAGACTAACATAGACTACGCTGACGATATCATCTTGCTAGCTCCATGCTTTGGTAATCTACAGTGTCACGGATGAAGGAGACCATTACTTCAGTCGGCTTATCCGCAAATGCTGACAAGACCAAAGTGTCTTTGTACTGCATCCCTAAACAGGAGAAGACACCTCTGGGAATTAATGGCCGGCAACTTTTACAATTAGACCAGTTCAAATAACTTGGGACAAAATTGCTATCCAATGGGCAGAGTACAGACAAAATTGTCTCCAAAACAGGTACTAATTCCTGGGTTTTACACCTCCTGTGAAGGCACCTACGCGCTTTACCTTCTTCTATTCAGTTACCTGGGCCTCGCATATTCTCGACCATTCAGTTTATAATGTCAGAGTTAGTTACACATTGCACTAATTATAGGTCAATATCCGTCGACGCTTAACTCTGGGTGCAGTTTTTGCAACGCGCACGGTCTGTTAGTGACTTTGGTACGTTTTTTGGGAACTGAATTCACTTAGTCTCCGATTAAATCACACTCACTCAGAACTGGCCATTACAGTTAATCTGCGACAGGTCGACATTGTAAGTAATCCCTGTAGCCAAAAACCAACCAACTGGCTTCGAAAGATTAGCATCAGAGATATCAAACGTCAGCTGCTAGAGTCGTGTTAGACATACATTTATGTACATATATCATCAGGATCCTAGAGCTCTAACCTGATCGTATTCTCTGGAGCATTGTGTTCTTTTGCTGCTTGTGTGCAGCACCGGGCGGTAATCCGTAGGGTGATTGGCGGAGGTTATATCGACGGTAATCGCCGCTAATTAGGTTACTTGCTAGTCCAGGGATTTTACTCTACCGCAGGGGTAGGACATTGATAACAGGAGAGAACTAGTACTCCGGCAGCTTCTGTTGTGAATGGCTATCAACGAAATTGCGTGACGGCCTACAGACATCTCATTTATAAGAAAGGCATATAATTCATCAATCGCACACTTCGTGCATGCGCAATCGTACACAAAGGGAATTGTATCCCTCTATGATACTGTCTGCGAACACGTGTTTCAAAAAACGTGCTCGCAAACACACTAATTTTCTGTAAGAATTGTTTTTTTTTACAAAAAACTACAGACTAAGATGAATTCCAAGCATGACAAACAAAACTAGGTAGCCGAAAGTACTATTCGCTTGCATACTTGTAAAATTCCAAAGTTCTTGTTAATTAAAATGCACACTAATTTAGCTAGTGCGGCACTTTTGTAATGTATAAAACAATCTGTTGAATTTAGCCCTTCTTTATTTAAAGTCCTCAATATTTTAGAGGCTATCCGCAGATATTCTTACCGAAAAATAATATTAACTCAGACATACCGAAAACAAATTATGATGGTAGGAGGGATGGAAAAAAGATTCTGGATTCTTCCAAATTCGTGGATTAGATAAGCTCGACTTGAAGGTTGCTTGATCTGACAACCACAGATGCCGCATTTGACATTTAATTTCATAAATAATGAAGAACTTGGACTTTGTACCTCTTCCACTTCGCTATATTTCAGAAACCAACTTCAGGGCTTAAGTAACTCATTGACATAAATGATACCCTCTGAGTGTATTGCGTGACGAATATAATGCAATTTGCGGAATATGTGCTTCTGGAGTGTTTAGGTTTACAGCTCACAGCCTCTTAGACTATGGCGGAATTCGTATGCACTTTAAGATTGCAGCGTTTTCGCCCTCAAACGTACGCAACTAAGTGACATTAAATATTGCGTTGTCACAATCCTTATTAACAGAGTTCGTGTAGTACTATTTGGATGTCATAACGACAGGTTTCAGAGAGACGGAATTGGCTTTGACCTTTTGGTCTCTGCACTGTTATTGGCAACTGTAAGCAAGGTCTACATAACACGTTTCCCATTTACCGCGGACAGGAATTATTCGTTTTTCCATTAAACTGTTTGCCTTTTTGCTTGCTACCATCATATGACGATGGATTGGAGTATTAATGTAAGGAACAAAAGTTATAACCTGGTG